CACACACACACACACACACACACACACACACACACACACACACACACACCTCGAACAGGTAAAGCAGCCAGGACACACCTAAAGATGCAGATTCTGTGCATTTCTGTTAGCATGCTTAGCATGCCGCAGCTATTTGGTTACCAGTAATGCGTGTCATTGTACTTTCTCTTTCTTGCTGCCTTCACTCTCTGTCACCTGCTTCATCGCTGTCTGTGTGTAAGCAGTATTTACTTATTTATCCATATTTATTTAGTGTTTTGAAATATCGTTTTCAAAACAAAAGGGTTACAATGTTTAAAAAATGTCTTTCCAAAAATGATGCATTTGTGTAATTAGTTTTAGCATGCTTTGGGGGTTTTGGTTAGTTTTTTGTGTGTTTTTAACATGTGTGCAAATATTTTCTTACCATAGATGGAAAGATGCACCTCTGGTCCTTCTCCTGCAGAAACACCAGGATGTCAGACATCAGTAAGACCTGTATATCTACACAAACACACACATAAACATTTTTTTAGACTAGAATCACCCTTTAGTGTCATTGTATAAAATCTTTACTTAATGCAGTGCAGGATGGTTCTGGGTTTAAATGCTGAAGTGTGGAAGACAGACAGAGGACCTGTAGGAAACCAATGCAGGCAACCATAGAGAAAGATGCCACCACCCAGCAGGTTCAATCCCAGGCTTTCAAACCTTGGCAACAACAACACAGCCCCTTTCTAAAACTTGAATTTCAATTTAGTTGTACTTATACAGCTCCAAATCACAACAGCAGTTGCCTTAAGGCACTGAGAGATTAATATTGCAAAGTAGGGACCTACAATAATACAGAGAAAACAGAGAAAACGGAGAAAACCAAAATTATTGGATCTCCTTTGAGCCCTTTGGTGCTTTTAGCAGGAAGAAACCTCCAGCAGAACCAGGCTCAGGGAGGGGCGGGGCCATCTGCTCCAACCAGTTGGGGTCAGGGGACAGAGACAGGACAAGTTATCAATCAATATAATAATATTTTAATTATAATTAATAATAGTAGAATATTCATAATAAAACAAAGAATGGATCCTCCCTTAACTAAGGGAGGATTCAGGGTCACCTGATCCAGCCCTAACTATGCTTTAGCAAAAGGAAAGTTTGGGCTATGCTCTAATGGGGTGATATGGTGTTATAAAGCTATTAAGATGTTTGTTTGCTTGTTTGTGATTGAAAGGATTTTACATTTGGATTTAACAGGGAGCCAATCATGAGAAGCCAGTATGGGAGTAATATGTTATTTCTTATTTGTCGTGTTAAGGCCGTCATTTTCTCCATGGGTGTTAAAATCACCCACACCACTCGGACAGCCAACAATTGAATATGACCGTGTCTGACATTGTTTGTTAAAGAAAAACAAAAAAGATAAATGCTCATATTTTATGAGCATAAACAACAACAAAAAATCTGTTAAATGTGAGGAGTGAAATGAAAATTAATCAGTAAGATACAAGGTAACAACATAAGTCTCTTATTCTGGGCAAACACATCAGGTGGACCTTGTCCTCCACCGACATTCTTCTTCATCTTTTGGTGTGTTGTTCATTTTTCATATCGGCTTTGATGTTTCTTTTCTTACCGGATCCATAATCCATGCCTCGGGGAACTAACACTAACATAACTACCTTGTTATTGTCACAGTCCTGGGTCGGTCTTTGAGTTCATTTCTTGGCTTCTGTTCCGTGTTCCCTCTGTCTCCTCAGTCAGTCATGTCTCTATGTCTCAGTGTTAAGACAGCGTTGTTGTGTATGTCTCTTGCGTTTCCTGTTTTACTTTGAAACTCCATGTCCTATGTCAGTGTATTCTGTTTTCCTCCCTGTCCTCATGTTTAATTAGGTTCAGCTGTGTCTCCCTCCTGTTGTGCATTTCCCTCGTTACCTTGTGTGTATTTATGCTATATGCTGTCCTCTGTCTCTTGTCGGTCTGTCTGCATTTATTCTTGCTTGCCTTTCTTGCTTGGCGATCGTGGCTCAAGAGTTGGGAGTTCGCCTTGTAATCGGAAGGTTGCCGGTTCGAGCCCTGGCTCGGACAGTCTCAGTCGTTGTGTCCTTGGGCGAGACGCTTCACCCGTTGCCTACTGGTGGTGGTCAGAGGGCCCGGTGGCGCCAGTGTCCGGCAGCCTTGCCTCTGTCAGTGCGCCCCAGGGTGGCTGTGGCTACAATGTAGCTGCCATCATATGTGTGTGAATGTGTGTGTGGATGTAGTGTAAAGCGCTTTGGGGTCCTTAGGGACGAGTAAAGCGCTATACAAATACAGGCCATTTACCATTTAATTCTAGTTGTGCAGCGTGTCCCAACTTTTCATTGTGCACAGCCGTACTTACTTTTATTATTGTTTTTATTTCATTATATTTGTCATTTTTTAAATTGAGAATTTGTTTCATAATTGAGATTCACGGTTTTTAAGGTGCATTTTAATGTTGTTTAGTGTTAATGACAGAATAATTACATAAGCCAACGTATAACGTGTGTTTTATATATACAGTCTGTACATCAGGGGTGTCCAACTCCAGGCCTGGAGGGCCGGTGTCCTGCAGGTTTAGATGTGTCCTTGATCCAACACAGCTGATTTAAATGACCTCCTCAACATGTCCTGAAGTTCTCCAGAGGCCTGGTAATGAACTAATCGTGTGATTCAGGCGTGTTGACCCAGGGTGAGATTTAAACCTCCCTCGAGGCCTGGAGTTGGTCACCCCTGCTGTAAAGGTCAACTGAGGCTGATTTAAATGTTCAGTTTTGACTTGATGGTATTTTGTCAATATGAACCAAAATCTCTGAGGAGTCTTTTCACCACCTCGTTGAATCTATGCCATAAAGAATTAAGACAGCTAGTGATAGGACAATAGTCAGTGTCTACCTGTTGTATTATGTTTATTTTATTAAATATTAATCACCCAATTGTTGTGTACCTTTGAGTCGTGATCCTGGAGTTTTCCAGAAAAGGGTCCCTTCACGGATAAGTCTCCTTCGGAGTAACTCTCCAGCTTTAAATATTCCTCCATCCCGTACTATGGCCTCAGCCCTTGGGTCAAGCTTGGCATGGATTTCCTGAAGCCGCTGCGTTTTCTCCAGATCGTCCATCTGCCGACAGGAAATTCAATCTTACATTTTCAGTTTGATTAAATCATCTGAATGAACCGGCGAGCTAATCTGAGTTGGCTAAAATGGATGTTACAAGGAGATTTGTAAGATCCATTTTGAAACGGTGATGGAGGTGGAGGTGTGCTCTGAAGAGAAGAGGAATGAACATCACTTAGACAAAATAAATGTGTGTGAATTGGAGGGAGTCAGGCGGAAAGATGAACGTACAAAGTCTAAGTGTTTAAAAATGAAGCTGAGTTTTACTGAGTTTTAGTAAAAGTAGAGGAATAGTAAGGTCTTATTACTAAATGTTATTCTATTGAAACTATTAAATACTACATATTATGACTGTATTACAGTGTAATACATTATAAGACAGAAAAGACGATGAGATTTTTCAGTAGATAAAAAACAGAAGTAAATCAGTCTTAGAAATAAACAAAGATCTTGAGTATGAGCTAAAAGCACTTGTGTGGAAGTTTAGAGCCTGTCGAACAGGGCAGGCAACTGTTTGTCCTGTAAATGCTACAAATCCTCTCTCTGGTTAGTGAAACAAGTCGTCCACTTTACAGCTGAGGTAGGAGAACAAATGAATGCTGGGTTGTTAGCACAAGCTAACAACTAGAGATCTAAAGACCTAATCTAAGCATCATTTAGGAAGAATGAGTGTTTGCACTGACTTGTACTTGATGTCTGAATGTGTAAGATTTTGAAAAGAACAAATTCTTTGTGAGTTTTCTGATATTTGAATATGAAGAGAATGAATGACGCACAGATTATTGCACAGGGAGCGAACACTTCAGTACCTGTTGGTCTATTGAACTAAGCAGTTCTCTGATCATCAGCAGAGCCTGGGCCACAGAGGAAGCTTCTTCTTCATCATCTATATAAAATAGAAACAATCATCTGATTCATCTCTAATTTCAGTAAAACTGTGAAGTTTGAATTTCATCTTCTGACAATTTTTTCAAAAGAAAGAAAGAAATATGATTTTGCATATATGAGTTTTAATTTACTAAATCCAGCTCACAAAAGCTTCATGTACCAAATATATTACCCTGGGTGTTAAAGGGTTAAGTTTACAGTAAATAACAGAAAAATGGAGAAGAGGAAAAGGTTCCCATTGAAGCCTGGTTTTGCTTCGTTGTGTGGAACCATAAATGTTAGTTAAATGTGAAAACCAGCATTTTTTAATTTTCTAGTGACATTGTAGATCTGAGAAAAGAAGGAGGCAGATGACTGGGATGAGTCACCTGTTGTGTTGTCCAGAATGCGCTGAATAAGTGCAGGATACTTGAACATCCGCTGAGTCACCAATAAGATGCACTCTTGAACACCATGGCAACGTAGCAAGGGTCCTCGACTCACCTGCTGCTAAGAGACAGAAAGGAAGCTTTAATTTTTCATCATTATTTAAAAGCGATCATGGTCGTGGTGGCCTGAGGGCACGACAATGTCTAGTTAGCCCTGTGCTAACTGTATCAACTCTGTATCAACTCTGTATCAACTCTGTATCAAC